CTGTGGCTGTGGCTGTGGCTGTGGCTGTGGCTGTGGCTGTGGCTGTGAGCGTTGATGTTAGTGCGGGTGTAAGCGTGCTGTGCTGTGGCCTAAGTGTAGGAATGGGTGAGTGCGGCGTAAGGAAAAGTTACTTCTATACACAAACACGCACCCATACCCTACTTTCTGTGTGGGTATGGATGCGCTTATTGGTAAATGTGGGCGTGAGGGTGAGTATCAGTGTGGATGTGGGCATAATCAGCGGAAAAACTCACGCTCACATCTGTATCGCTCGGTTGGATTCCCAAAAAACTTTTTCTTAATTTTATACATTTTTCAAAAGGTTCAGAACTGATAGTGTACTTAATACACTATCCGGCACGAATAGTATCGTTTGTGGTGTAAGTCTGTCGACAAACTATTTCTTTAAAACACGAAATTACTACGCATTGTTCTAGTTTTATCTCTAAATACAGATATCTGCTGAAGGCTTATTAATGATGGGCAGAGATACGGACCAAACGTAACCAATATATTATTATGGATTTCGTTGTATGTTGTCGCCGTTTTTATCTGTTAATCTACATTCTGTGAAATATGACACAAATAAATTGGCAAGTTATTTTTCTATCATCTCTTTCTTGCCATTGTTATTCTTCTACGATATAAGGTCTCCCTAGACTGATAGTTTACGATAATGATACCCTTAGTTTCTATTGTTTTCTCTTTCTTGTTGCTGTTTTATTTTTATTATTCTATTTACTAGTGCTTAATTTTTTCTTATCAGCCATCATCAACCTCACTTTATAAGGACAATAAAAGTCAATATAATAAAAAGATACACACGAAAGTTGGAAAGAATAACCATAAAATAAGTGAAATTGTTGCACTTATTTCTTTTTTTCAACTGAAGCTAAGGAGAATTTATCATCGAGTATCAACGAAAAAAAACCCATATTTCATGTCGCAGAAAATCTAGAAAACAAAAACAACAGGTACTGACTGTATAAATAGAAAAGGTGACCTCTGTATAGCTACCAAGCAATTATTCATCGTTTTAAATTGAATAACAACATTTCATATACGATTCAAGCGAACACAATTCAAACAACATATCCCAATTCGTTATGTGCGCCGCTGCAACTGCAAGATCTTCGCCTATTGCCAGCCGACCAAACCGAGGTCGGCTTCAAAATTATTTACTGATATGGGTCGATGGTAACATCGACGAAAACAACAAAGATTGCGCAAACACGCTGGAGGAATTGCGCAGCATCGTCAGAGAAGTCAATCTCTGTACGACTCCAGCCCAATGTATTCAATTTCTCAATGATATGGATAACGAAAAGGCGTTTGTTATCTCGTCTGGAGCTTTAGGACAGCACCTCGTACCGCAGATTCATGATTTGTTACAAGTGGACGCAATTTATATCTTTTGCGGTAATAAAACAAAACATGAAGCATGGGCAAAACAATGGGCAAAGATTGAAGGTGTTTTCACCTCAATCAAGCCCATATGTGAATCGTTAAAGAAGGTCACCCGTGAATGTGACCATGATACCATTCCCATGAGCTTCGTTCCGAAGCAAACGACGGCAGCTACATCAAGTCAAGAAAATCTGGACCAATTAGAGCCATCATTTATGTACTCGGTGTTATTCAAAGAGATTATATTGGAAATCAATGAAGACGACGCGAAGCCGTTGAACGATCTGGTACTCTACTGCCGTAAAAGAGATATATCTGAATCAGAATTAAATTTTTTTCAAATTAATTACCACAAGAAATCGCCAATTTATTGGTATACATGTGAAATATTCCTTTATGGCATGCTTAACTACGCTCTACGATCACTCGACATGGAAGCCATGACAAAAATGGGCTTTTTCATCCGAAACCTTCATAAACAGCTGGAACAACTGCACAAAGAACAAGCAAAGACTTTTACGAAAAAATTCATTGTTTATCGTGGTCAAGGGCTTATTGAACAAGATTTTCAGCATCTAATGGACACGAAAGGTGGGCTGCTCTCATTCAACAATTTTTTGTCAACTAGTACAAAACAACAAATCTCTAGGGGATTCGTAGAACGTACAATGCAGAAAAATAAAGACATCGTCGGTGTTCTTTTCATCATGACAATTGATCCAAGTACAATATCGGCGGCTACTACTCCATTTGCACTTATCGACGAATACAGTGCTATTGAAACTGAAAAAGAAATTTTATTTTCAATGCATACTGTTTTTCGTGTCGACGATATCAAACAATCAGTTAGCAATAGTCGTCTGTGGAAAGTTCAATTGAGTCTTACCGGCGATAATGATCCAGAATTGGCTAGCCTGACGCAAAACATAAAAGGGGAACTCTTTGGGTCTACACGATGGCATCAGTTGGGCCATCTAATGCTCAAAGTGGGTCACTACAATCAAGCTGAAGAACTCTACAATGAATTACTCAAGAACACTTCCAGTGGCAGTGATAGAGCAGATATTTATCATATGCTTGGATTCTTAAAAAATAATAAAGGACAATACCAAGAAGCAGTCTCATTTTATGAAAAGTCACTCGAAATCAAGAGAAAAACTCTTCCGGAAGATCATTCTTCATTGGCTCCTACCTACACTGAAATTGGTCGTGCGTATAACAACATGGGTGACTACTCGAAAGCACTTGAATTTTACGAAAAAGCACTTAAAATTAAAGAAAAAGCTCTGCCTCCGAATCATCCCGATTTGGCTACTTCATACAACAACATCGGTCTAGTGTATAACAACATGGGTGACTACTCGAAAGCACTTGAATTTTACGAAAAAGCACATAAAATAAGAGAAAAAGCTCTGCCTCCGAATCATCCAGATTTGGCTCAGTCCTACAACAATATCGGTCTAGTGTATAACAACATGGGTGACTACTCGAAAACACTTGAATTTTACGAAAAAGCACATAAAATAAGCGAAAAAGCTCTGCCTTCGAATCACCCTCATTTGGCTACTTCCTACAACAACATCGGTGGAGTGTATAACAACATGGGTAACTACTCGAAAGCACTTGAATTTCACGAGAAATCACATCAAATCTACGAAAAAGCTCTGCCTCCGAATCATCCCGATTTGGCTACTTCCTACAACAACATCGGTCTCGTGTATTACTACATGGGTAACTACTCGAAAGCACTTGAATTTTACGAAAAAGCACTTAAAATAAGAGAAAAAGCTCTGCCTCCGAATCATCCAGATTTGGCTCAGTCCTACAACAACATCGGTGCAGTGTATAACAACATGGGTGACTACTCGAAAGCACTTGAATTTCACGAGAAATCACATAAAATCTACGAAAAAGCTCTGCCTCCGAATCATCCCGATTTGGCTATATCGTACTGGCACTTCGGCTCGATAAATGAGAAGATGCATAAATATTCGGAGGCACTTTCATTTTTAGAAAAGACACTTTCTATCTTTAAAAAATCACTTCCGTCTAGCCATCCTCATATTCAATCCGTGAGAAACGCGATTGACAATGTAAAAAAGAAAATGTAACTGTAATTTTTTCTTTTCACTTGCTCAATAAATTTATTCACATTGCTAATCGTTTCGATTTTTCTCGGCTCATTTTGGCTTATTCGCGCGCGCGCGACAAGGGAGAGATCCCTTGTTAATGCCATAGGTACCACAGGCGGACCACGCCGGACTGGTAGGGCAATGGCCGAAGGTATGCCGTATTAACACGGTAGAGGCCAACGACACATAGAGGCCTTCCCTAGTACTACACTGCTTCGCTATGGCACGAAATTTCCTGTCCCTATTGAATCAGAAAACGTAGTTCTCTGACCCACACTAATAATATTCATAACTCAACTCAACTCATCTCAAAAGTACTCATACTCATACTCATAATAACTGATAATATTTATTTTTTCTCGAAATAAATTATCTCAACTCAACATGTAAAAAAAAATTTTTTCCTACCTCTCAATGTTGTATTGTATCGTAGCTCATCTAAAAAAAAAGTGTTGTTAAATATAAAGACAAATAATTTACCTTATTTAAAATATAATGATATCATTATCATTGTAAATAATATAATAATAATAGTAATAATAAATAATGTACCCGGGTATATAATTACATTGTGATGCATCATATTGAGAAAACGTGAATGTACTGTTTTATGATGATACATCCATGTTTTTATATACACTATGGTTCATTGTTTAATATTCAACGGTTTTGATTGATTTTTCATCAATCACATCACACACGTGAATTGATATTTCTTCGTGTGTTTTAATTGATTTGACGATCAATCTTTATGTAGTGATATATGTATGTTTTTTTAATTTTTTTTCACATCTGACGGACATCAATATCATGTCGTCGTCGTCGTAGTCGAAAAAAAAAATATTCGTCTTATGTGTATATGTAGAGTGCGAGTTGAAAAAAATAATAACATTCATTGCCACACCCACACCCTTCCAGAGACCGAAACGAGTCAAAAAAATCCGATTCGACTCGACTCGACTCGACTTAGGTATTCACTCGATTCGACTCGACTCGACTGACATTTGAAAAAATCCTAACTCGACTCGACTCGACTCGGCTCGGCACAGGTATTCACTCGACTCGCCTCGACTCGGATCGCATAACCAAGTATTTATTGAAACAAAAAGTGTTTATAAATATAGTTTTATTTAAGAGCGAGCATAAATAACAAAATTAACAAAAGTCATAAGAATGAATGAAAAAAACTCTAATATAGATTATTTATTTGTTGTTTTCAAATGAACGTAGAAAAATTAAGTTGTTTACCGTTGAAGGATCGAGATTCGAGCGTCTTTGTGTTATGATTTGACCTGCGGCGCTAAATTGCCGCTCAACAGAGGCAGAGCTACAAGGTGCTGCAAATGTGCGTTTAGCAAGACGATATAATGTTGGAAAAGCCAATTGATTACGTTATTGTCGCCAAAAGACCAGAGGATCTGTATATTCTTCTTCCACTGTAAGTGCAATATAATGATCAATCTCATCAGCAGATGCTGGTTCTGTTTCCTTCTTATCCATTAATTGTGTCATGAACTTGAGCTTCTTTGCGGGTGGTTGAATAATGTTTTCATCGGTTCTAATCGAATCATTCATCGTGTTAGAAGGTAAAATGAAATCTCGACAAACATTATAACAAGATTCGATTTGTTCTTTCGTTGGTCCACGCAATTGTTTATAATTAGGATGTAAAAAGGAAGCTCGAATATAATCGTCTTCCATGGTGAACATTTTATCAAGTAACTGCACTGCACGTTTGTAGAAGAATTTGATTCCTTAAAAAATAATTTAGATGGAAATAAACACAAGAACATTTATTTTACCTCCTTTTTCTTTTTTCTCCCCATTGATCATTTGTTCTCGAAGATAAGTAATACATGGTAAAACACAATAGAGAGAAGGAGCAGTTCCGATTTGAACTTCTTTGAGTACATTTCTCCATCTGAAAAAAAATTAGGAAATAATAGCGCATATACATTCATAAGCTTTTGTTGATAAAAATAGAATTATTATTTATTAGATTAAGAGTCAATTAATTACTTACGGTTCGAGGAAACGAATGAGCTTTTCGACGAGATCAAAGTTTACATTTTGCAATCGTTGTTTCTGATGACGATCTTTTAATACTTGAAAAAGAACGGACTCTGCTTTTTTGATGCTTTTCAACAAATCGCACAAGGACAGCCAGCGAACGACAGAACACTGGTGTAGTGTAGCAGCATTAGTAGAATTGTTCGTTGTTGATGGTGAACTGTCATCATTGATTTGTTCGATGTTATTCTGCTTCTCACGTTCTAGTTGTAATTGGCGATTGAGATTTGCCTGAAAAACAGAACTATTGAAGTGTTTAAGTCATAATAAGCGTCTTACCTTTTTAACATATTTCACAAGTGATTTACAATTTTTAATTACGTCAAGAATGGCTTTTGCAGACACTGGTATATCATCAGCTGTGGCGGCAGTATAATCGACTTCCTCATCATCGGTGTCGGTCTCTTCGTCTGATGAATCGTCTGTTTCAGCAGCATTTCTTAATTCTTCCTCTTCGTCTGATAATTCTGGTGAAGCTTGAGTAAGAGCTCGTGTTGTGATGGTTGTCGTTTCAGTTTTTGTTGGAGTTAATTCAGTTCGACGGACGCTAGTAGATATAGATAAGAGTTTCGCAGGAGAAATATTCTTTTGCTTCTTCTTTGTTTCTTGATAAAAAAATTTTTTTAATATATTATTCAGTCGATGGGCGACACAGAGGAGTACGTTGAAGGCTACTAATGCCTTTATAAAATTCGAACCTCTGTCAGTTATGAATGTAATTTTGTCCATAAGTTCTGTCAAACCAAAAATAGCTAATTCATCTTTAATAATCTAAAAGAAAAGCGAAAAATTATTGATTGACATTAGAAACCAATATATTACCTTCAACACATTAGCAGCTGTTTTCTTCCATTTGAACTCGGTGCAGAAAAGATCGAAACAATGGAAAAACCCATTCTCGTCAACAAAATGAACAGAAGCACCTAAGTATGAAATATGTCGATGTCTGTCAGACCAAATATCAGGGCTAATCGATAAACGATAATCTTCAGCTGCAGCGATTAATTTAGTTTTAAGAATATTACGTCCATGTTCGGCAGCACGGTCGACTTCGTTGCGAACAGTTCGATCAGATGGAAGAAGATCGTCAATTAATAATTCACCTTGTGCCCGAAATTCACGACCTAGTTGAGAAAAGAAAATCGATCATTCAAATACAAGAACTTCATAGACTTACCTATTGTCAAACATTCTTGCAAAATATGTTTAAAGCCAGGATCTGTTACGATGGAAAATGGTCGCATGGAACTAGCCATCCAGCTAGCACATAATTTTTTTAAATTGTCTTTCTTCTTGGAAATTATTTTGGTACCAATGGCATTACGAACAGGACTTGATGAACTATTAAATGAGAGTCGACTTTGTCGCTCATCCAGTGAGCATCGATGGTTGTTTAAATTAGTAGTGCTAGAATCGTTGAAAAGATAAGTATCGAAACAGACGTTGCAACTTGCAAAACCCCTGATAATGCTAAATTCTCCATTTTCTTCGTTATCTTTTCTGACACCTGGGAAACCAAATTTAGCCCAGCAGGCCGCAGTTGCACGTTTATTGGGGTTCGGCAAAACCTTGTAGTGGTTCTTGTCGCGAATAAGCAGTTGTTTGATGCTGGCAGATGTATAGGTCTCACGAGCAACTGAAGGTGATACCACCGTAGGACGTAAAACAGACGAGAACGCTTCAGACGAACGTTGTGTCGAATCGTCGTTGGTTAGATCGATTGACATTTTCAAAACAAGGATGATTGTAGTTTTTTTGTTAAAAGATGTTCAATGAGCGATAGTCCGTGAGATGAAAAAAATTAGAATAATTCTGCCATACGCTATACATCGATTGTTTATATAGGCTCACCATTGATTAATACAATATCGTCTATTAAGATATGTATAGACAATAATACAGTGAATACAATGAAAATTATTGTTCGCTATTTATTTCAGTCCATTCAACGCTGCCGGTTCATTGTTATTTCACCATTGACACTGACTGTCTGACGAATTCATCGTGATGATCTAATATTGCGCTGTTTTAATAAAGCCAAAACAAACGAACATTTTTGCCGAGAAAGAACAAAATGAATCACAAAAAAAAATTCTAAAAAGTCGAGTCTCTCGAATCAAACTCTACTCGACTCGACCCGGAAGTTCATTTCATTGGACTCGATTCGACTCGACTCGGAAGCAGGTTTCACTGGACTCGATTCGACTCGACTCGACTAAATGTCAAGTCGAGTCGAGTCGATTGGTCGAGTACTCGACTCGTTTTCACGTAGGTGAAGTTAGCGTCCGATTCGAGTAAATCTGCCGCCGATTCGCTCAGGAACATGCTCCAAGTGCTCCAATCGGGTTCCAAGTACAACTCGATGAGCTCTATCAAATGGTATATTAGGATTTTACGTAGCTCAAACTATGTATTCGCAAACCTCAAAATACTGGTCCAAAAGTATTAGAAATGGCCCATCAGCATAGTAATTCCACCGCCGATTCGCCCAGGAACATGTTAGAAGTGCTCCAATCGGG